AAGAGTAACAACTTTCTGTATGTAATAGCATAAAATCCCTCTTTGGCAGCTGTACTAAATTGCCTTCCCTGTAAGGGATTAATCAGCTCAAATAACCTAGTTGGCACCTTACCAGAAGGACCAATGAGGAAAGAAGATACTTTCAAATCTGTGGGGGTGGGGGGAGGATTTGTTTATTGCTGTCTCTGTTGTTCCCTCTCTGGACGGAGGGAGAGACCAAGCAGGTACAACATCTCCTGAAAATATATCTGGAATAATAGATTTAAACCCACAGAAATTGTAAGTAGGCAGGGAAAGGCGTTGGTTATCTTTTGTTTTAGCTTGTGAATTTTCCTATGCTACAGATGTAGTTTGATTCCTGTTTTTGTAACTGTGAAGCTGAGCCAGAGGGGAGTCGTCTGTGTTTGAAATCTTTTATTTACCCTGTGAAGTTACCTGCAGAACAGATTTTGCAGCTGTGATTATTTTTTTCCATATATATAAATAAAGATCTTCTTTTAATAACCTGATTGATTTTCAGTGTCCTGAAGACAAAGAGTCTGGTCTGTGCTCACATTGATAACCAATTGGTTGGTATATTATTCTCAAGGCTCCACAGGAAAGGGGGTGAAGGAGCTTGGGGGGATATTTGGGGGATAGGGATTCCAAGTTACCCTGCCCTGAATTTTTCTATAAATCACGTGGTGGTGGCAGCAATACAGTCCAAGGGCAAGGGAAGGAATTTGTGCCTTGGGGAAGTTTTTAACCTAAGATGGTGGAATATAAGCTTAAGGGTCTTTCCTGCGGGTCCCCACATCTGTACCCCAGAGTTCAGAGTGGGGGGGGACCCTCACAAGCAGTGACTGCGGCTGCTCTTACCTGTCACAGAGATGGTGAGCGCAGGGTCTGTGCCATCGGAATTGGAGCGGTAAGTGTGATCTAACATGCCTTTCTCGATGTAAAGGAAATATCTCCCTGCATCCCTCCGTCGGGCATCACTGATTTGCAGGGAGCAGTCGCCGTGCACTGGATCCCCCGTCAGCCGGAACCGGCCCTGGGTCTCCTGCGACACACCCCCGCTGGGGACACTGCTGGCCACAGGCGGATCCTGGCCCATAATAGCAGGCTCCTTGTACCATTGTCCGTATAGCTGGTCCGAGGGATTGTCGGTGTCATACGAGGCTGGGTACGTGAAGTTGCAGGGGATGAGAATGCAGAGACCCTCCTGCACGGACACTGACTGCGGCACTGCCAGGGTAAATCCCGGTGGCTGGGACAGGGACCCTGCAGGGGACAGGGAGGGATGGAAGTGGGACCCATAGAGAGCAGAGACCAACCCTGAGCTGCACCCCCAGCTCTGCTGGTTCCCCTCACTCCCAAGCTGCAGCCCCCTGCGAGCCCAGCCCTGAGATCAACCCTCCCCCCCCCGAGGTCTATCAGTGACCCTCACTCCTGACCAATAGCCCCATATGAGCCAAGCCCTGGGTCCTTGACCAATTCTCACTCCATTTAGTTTCCATTCCTCCCTCCATCGAGCCCCCTGCCCGCTCCCTGTCACTCAGCGCCCCCTAGCACCACACTGGGGCACTGGCTCCCTCCCCCTCTGGCCAGTCTCCCTTCCAAGTTCGGGGACAGACCTGGCCCCGCTTAGTGCAGGTTCTGCCCTTCCCCCTGCACTGGGGCTGCAGGTGCTGCTTACTTACCCCTCCAGAGCAGGGCGAGGATCAGGACCCTCAGCGTGGCAGGACCCCCTGCTCTCCAGAGGGGGCCCTGAGGTGGGATCTCCCTTTCCCCGGCGTCCTGCTGTGGCAGCAGGGCTCTGCCCATGGGTGGGGCGTCTGGCTGGGACAGACCTAGAGACAGACGGGGGGTGAGAAGTGTGAGAGCAGAGGCTGTTTGGGGGGGACAGATCTGCCTGGGGGCCATCAGTACTGCTGGGCTCTGCAGGGGGCTGATCTCGGGCTGTTGGCAGCACAGTGACCCACCAAATCCCCAAATCACCAGACTTTCCTGAGAGATCACACCCCACACACCCCACACTTTGTGTTGACCCAACTCCATAGGGGGCAATGGAGTGAGCGCAGTTGGACTATGGGTGAGAAGTTTGCACATATGTGCTCAACCTGGGGTATCTGCCCTCCTTGCCACCCAAAATTACCCATATGGGGAAGGGGAAACCCCCAGCAGTTCCATTTCCCACCATCCCTCTGCTGCCCTCAGGTGTTCTCGGGAAGGAGGCTGAGAGATGAGAGCTAGGTAACCCCCGATGTACGTGGCCCCCTGAGCTGATGCCTCCAGTGTGGTCCCCAGGGTAGGGGAGCCCTGTGGCGAGACACTGCTTGGGCTGGAGGGCACCCTCAGAGCTGTGGGGGCAGGGAGCAAGGGCTGGGATCGCAAAGGGTTTGGGTCGGGATTGAGGGGCACGCCAGTCACTACAGACCATTCAGCTCCCTCCCCCAATCTAGTTCCACTCACCACTAGACCTGCAGAGGGGGGCCCGGCGCCTGGCTCTCCGACCCTTCAGTTCGGGTTCCTCAGGGTTTGTGACTCGGAGCCTGGGGAAGCGGCATGCACAATGGGTGCTGACAGGAGGGGATTGGGGGGAGATGCTCTCTCAGGAACCCCAGCACCAGCATCCTGCCGACTTCCCCGCCTTCTGGCTGGGGCTGCCTGTGGCTTCCCTGCAACGGGGCAGGCTTCATATTGCTTATGGGGCTGGAACTAGATCCCAGCATTGCTGGCTCTGAGCCCCTCTACACCTCACTCTGCTCCCAGAGCTGGGATAGAGCCCAGGAGTCCTGACTCCCAGCCTCCAACCCCCACTCTAACCCACTAGACCCTGCTCCCCTCCCAGAGACAGGGATAGGACCCAGGAGTCCTGGCTTTGAGACCCTCTATATCTCACTCTCCTCCCAGAGCCGTGGATGGAACCCAGGAGTCCTGGCTCCCAAGCGCCTGTCCCAGCTCTATCCCTTCATTACTTCTTTTAATATTTGAACACTCGCAACTCACACTTCTTATCCTATTGTACATGCTGCAGACGCTAATCACTCACCCCGAGCTGAGATGCAGCCACCTCCAGGCGGGGTAGCTGGGGAACAGCCACACAGCGACACTGCCCAGGGGTTGCTCACCCGGAGCTGAGATGCGTCCGCCTCTGGGGTGGGGTGTCTGGGAACAGTGCACAGGAACAGCAGGTGCCCGGTAGGACAGCTAGCGAATCCCGACTCCAATTTGAAGAGCCGGGTGCGTGTGAAGACCTGCCTGGGATGGAGCGGGCGCGAGTGTTAGGGCGTGGGCTGTGGCGAGATGTGAGATTTCAAGACAGGAAGGGGAAGTCAGCGTGTGATTCCGGCCGTAGATTGCCTTGCAGAAGCCGGTTCCAGTGGCTGGAGATCTCGGTGCCATTGATGCAAGAGGGAGATTGTCACAGACAGAGGCCTGCTCCCAGGGACAGCCGGCTTCTGGCCCCACCGCAGGGGGACTGGCTGGGGGTGGAGGGAATGGGGCCTGGGGCCTTTCCCCTGTAGGGGCCCCTGGCTCCAATCTGCTCCAGGGTGGGTCACTGGCTGGTTCTGGGGAGTGGGGCCAGGGGTCCTTCCCCTCTAGGGTCTCTTTTATTCTCTGTCTCTCGGCTCCTCAAACGTCTTCCAGGTCCCGGGTCATTGAGTCTGGGGAATCCCTTTTCATGGGACCCAGCTGATCGTCTGGATCAGGAGAAGCAGCTGGATTCCACGGCCCCCCATAGACACCGTCTTTCGATTTAAGAGCTGAGACGCAGCTGAATCTGTCCTGGTTCATGGGGGCTGTTTACACAGGGATCTCTCCCCAGTGCTGAGATGTGACTGCCTCTGGGGTGCGACGCGAGGACTGTTTATACAAGGACTCCTTGCCGGGTGTTGAGATACACAAGGGTTTGGGAGAAACCTAGAACTAAAAGAAACACGGCGCCCCCTAGGGGCATTGGAACCAGCTCCAATGGTCGGGCCCTCCCGAGTCTCCCACCCCAGCCAGACCCTGGCCCGCTCTGCCCCAGGCCAGTGGCATGTCAGCTCTGCCCCCCATGTGTGGGCCGTGGCGACTGTGCTGGGAAGCTGGTTGCTGAGCGGATCTTCCACAACAGGAAGTTACCAGTTGATGAGTTTGCTCCACCTCCAGCTGGTCGGCCCCTGTTTGGGGCTGGGCGAGAGCCGTGGAGAGCAGGGGAGAGGGTCCCATTGAACACTGGGGCACAGTCGCTTGGACACAGGTCCCTGGCCAGTGGCGGAAGGGGCGAGCCCAGGGCAGATTCCTGCTGGGACTGTGGCTGCCGGGTCTAGTGGGTTAGAACTCGCTGCGCTGGATCCATGAGGATCAGGACAGATCCCTGGTCCTTCGGGTGAGAGCCAGGGCAGGAACCCTGGTGTCCGGGCTGGCCCCTAGTTTGGTGTGGTACATTCTGCCTCTGGTTAATCCCCGTTTGGTTTCAAACTCTTTTAAATTAGCTGCCCAGGAGGTTTCCCTCGGTTGCTGTTAAACAGATGCCCCACCTGGAGGTGGCTGCATCTCAGTGCCAGCCGGGGAACAGATCCTTATATAAACAGCCCCCGCAACCCACCCCAGAGGTCACTGCATCTCAGCGCTTGCCGAGGGGTCCCTGTATAAACAGCCCCCACACCCTACCCCAGAGATGGCCGCATCTCAGTGCTGAGCAAGGGATATTTGTGCATTGTATTCAGCTCGGTATATGACTCATGTGTTTTTACTGGATCTTGTGAATTACCAGGTTGAGATGCAGGAAAAAAAATGATTCACTGGGAAACCTTGGAACAGCCAGGTCAATATTGAAATCTTACATTTCTGGAGATCATGGTGACTGGGGTCCGTCTCTTACAGATATGGCAGGGGAAGGGTTAATTACCAGTCATTATCTATCTATCTATCTATCTTAATAATTTAGATGTCTGTTTTTTTCTGTGTCCTGAAAATATTTTAAAACATGAGGCAGGAATTGAAAAATGTGGGATATTTTTTGTGATCATTAGTTTTAAATGTCAAAGATCTCTGTGAAATCTTTCTGAAATCCAAAAGATACTGTGATTAGTTTTTATGAAACTTTTATTTTAAAAACAGCCTGTGACGAAGTGGGGGATTTTGTTAGTGATTTTCATGAATACTGTCTGTGCCTCAGTTTACCTGTGTGCTGCATGTGTAACGATGTGGTGGGAGAGGGGGGTTGTGGTTGCAGACGGGCAGGTGTGACCTTGCCTAACAGCCCGGACCCTGGACATTGGCCTGGACACTGTAGATCTTAGGAACTGGTGAGCCGCAGGCCCAGCTCATCTTGGGAGCCAGCCGGTTCTGGCCCGTGGGAGGACAAAGGCCAGAGGAGAGATGGCGCAGGAAGGCAGCTGGTTCTGGCCAGTCGGAGAACAAAGGACGGGAGGGAGGGGACTGGGGTGACCTGTTTGCCCAGGAACAAAGACAAAGGGTGGGGGCGGGGCGGGTGGGGAAGCTCGGCTGGAAGGAGGTCGCTTCTGGACTGGGGACAAAGAGGGGCCTGAGCTACCTGGACGGGGTCAGACCCAGCTGGACGGTGCTGAGACTGGCCAGGTCCGAGGGCCCTGAGAATTGCCTGTGCTGGGTTCAGACATTCAATAAACCTCCTGTGTGACACTGGCTGAGAGTCACTGCAGGGTAGAGATCGGGGGGGGCATTGCTCCCTCT